AAAAACTATGATCGGACAACAATGTGTTGTTGTTTTGATTTATGTACTGCCCCGTAGTACCAAAGCACTCCCTGGACGGTTTACAATATAATCATGCAAACAACAACTTCGCCCACCAGCAAGCTTGGTACTCATCTTACTGACCTTGGAAGGATGGAAAGCTGAGCCAGCTTTGAGATGGCTACCTGGAGCCTGTTGGGATCAAATTCAATTCGTGAGCAGAAGCTTGATTGCAATACTGCAGTTTAAGGCTCAATGTAGTCCTTTCCTTCTTTCTATAGCTACTAAGGCCCTATGTTATGAACTTGGAACATGAAATGCAGCAAAACCCAGAAGCCCATTTTCTTTCCAATAGCAAAAACAAAAACAAAAAAAACCACTTTCCAGCTTTTCCATCACTACATTGTTGACATGAATTGCTGTATTTGTCGTTTTCTCTCACATATGAAAAACACAGGTAAATATGACTTGTTCCTTGTGGCATTCTGCTTATTCTGAAGAATCAGGCCCACGAGAGGTTTTGAACTGCCCTGAAACCCTGAGCTGGCCTATATGTAAGTGGCTGTATTTTGCTTAACAAGAAAATGTGTCCTCTGCTCCAGTCTTCATCAAGAGCTTGGGAAAGTTCCTTTTATTGGACTACAGTTTCCAGAATTCCTCTACCGGGTATTCTAGGAGCTGTCCAAAAAATAATAGTAAAAATACAAAAAGGTATATCTTTTTTGAGATATTACTCTCTTTCTTCATCAACAATAACAAAATAGAAACAAAAGTGAGGTGTGGCACCTTTAAAATTAACACACTCATTGCTGTGTGAGCTTTTCTGGATTAAAAGTCAAGTGTGAGGCCCTATATACTGCCCCATAGCATTTAAAGCACACACTGGGCCTGTTTACAAGTTACAGTAATTATGCAGTCTACACATCCCCCCCAATCTAGTTGGGTGCTCAATTTACTGATCTTGGAAGGATGGAAGGCTGAGTCAACCTTGAGCCAGCTACCTGAATCCACAGAGATCAACTCATATTGTGAGCAAAGTTTTTGACTGTAGGACTGCAGTTTAAGCATTACAATCCACTTCTTCATACAGTGGAAAATAACTGGGCAACAGGCACTATGTCCCACTTGGTGCCACTCCAGCACCCACGATTAGGAACACTGTGTATAGGACCAGTATTTTCATACTTAACACATTTAATTAATTATAATTGCATGCCTTCAGGTCAATTCTGACTTAGGGTGACCCTTTTCAGGGTTTTCTAGGTAGAGAGTACAGAGGTTTGCCCTTCCCTTCCTCTAGGGGGAGCACTGGGACTGTGCAGCTTGCCCAAGGATGCACAGGCTGGCTGTACTCATAGGAGACAAAGTGGGGAATTGAACTCCCAACCAGAGACCTCACCCACTGAGCTATCCAGCCAGCATAATGCATTTCATTCCTTACAACATTGTTGTGAGTGCTGTCTTGGGGGGATCTCCATGTATAATAACTTTTACTGTCCGGACAACAGGTAAAGGGGTTATTCCTGTTCCTTTAGTGTTTCATTGCTTCTATATGGCTGTTTTATACAATCTAATATGATTTTTATACTATTTTCTGCCTTATGGGTTTGTGTCTTGTACATTTGTAATTGCATTATGTTTCTTTCATTGGAAGTACTGTGAAGTGCTTCTGATATATTCATAGTAAAGTATTTAAACATTGAAAATAAAATAAAGGCACTGAATATTGCAAATATAAACTCACTAACTTGATGAAGTTATGAATCGATTGGGCTGTAATCCTGCACCCACTACCATTAGGCAGAATGTTGGAAAAGTTACTTTTTGGACAACAAATCCCCAAATCCCCTGCTGTTTGGTCCAGGAAAGTAGTTCTTCCAAGCCCTGATATGAATTCAGAGGAATAAGACCACAACAGGCTACCAGCCCAGCACTTGATTTGGCTGTTTATCTATTCACCTTGGTGCAAAATCATAGATCTTTTCGTTTTGATAAATTAAGAAAAAAAATCAAGATGAGGTTTCAGAGAAAGGAATTCTGCAACTGTTTAGAAGCTGCTAATGCATCTTTATATTGCATGAATTTGAAGCCCAGATGGAAGGTGCAAAGGCAGCCAGGAGATGCCTCGCCCACAAATTTTTTGGGGTGTCCCTCTGCCCCATTCATGAATCATTCTCATAAATTAAGCTCCTTCAGTGGTGGAACACTTAGGCACGCATCATGTTCAATATTTCTGTGCATGGAACTTCCACTGCAGAGGCTGCTGTGACCATATGACCATGTACCAGCCATGTGCTTTGTTCTGTGCGACCACGACTTCCATCAGATCACCCTGGCACCTTCCGCAACTGGAGCGCCGCATGTGCATAAATACTGCACAGGATACCATCCTAAGAATTCAGATTTGTACTTGTTCACACTTATATTCCTTGTCAAGAAATCATGCTTGTAGTTTTTCTAGTTTGGCAGGTTCGTGCCAAATTATAAGTATGAACAGAGTTGTTTCCAAAGGAAGATCAGATGCCAGAGAGAAAAGGCTTCAGACAGGATTTCATTGCAAGCCACACAGGCAGAATAGACCTGATAGGTTAGGCTCTATGTCCCACGTGCCAGTTCACACTTATATTCCTTGTCAAGAAGTCATGCCTGTAGTTTTTCTAGTTTGGCAGGTTCGTGCCAAATTATAAGTTTGAACAGAGTTGTTTCCAAAGGAAGATCAGATGCCAGAGAGAAAAGGCTTCAGACAGGATTTCATTGCAAGCCACACAGGCAGAATAGACCTGATAGGTTAGGCTCTATGTCCCACGTGCCAAGCGCTCAGAACTGAGGACAGGGACGTCTATCAGTCTCTACTTGTGAACTTACTTGTTTGTTGTTTTATTTATTACATTGATAGCCTACTTTTCCACTATAAGGTAGCCTTCAAGACAGCTTACTTCAAGGCAATTATTTTTCTTAAACGAATAAAACAGATAAAACCATATTTGGCTTTAACCACCACCACCCCAGTAAAATTAATTGTAAACCAACCATTAATAATCATCATGTGCTGTCAAGTCAATTCTGACTCATGCCGACTCTTTCCAGGGTTTTCTAGCTAGAGAGTACTATGAAGTGGTTTACCCTTCCTTTCTTCTGCTCCCCCGACTCCCGGTTGCCCAAGTTGGCCCAAGACCACACAGGCTGGCTCTTCTTCCAGTTAGCAGAGCAGGGAATCAAACTGCTAACCTCTGGCTCTGCAGCCAGGTACTAATTCAGTGAGCTGTCCAGCCAACCAAAAACATAAGGTTTGTCTAGAAAGACTGGTCCCATTACCTCCTTGGAAATCGAAGGGGAAGATATGGAGGCAGTGACAGGTTTTACTTTCTTGGACTACATGATCACTGCAGATGGTGACAGCAGCCACGAAATTAAACGATGGCTGCTTCTTATTTATTTTATTTATTGTATTTATACCCCACCTATCTCGTCATTTCGACCACTCTTGGGATGAAAGCAATGACAAACCTAGACAGCATCTTAAAAAGCAGAGACATCACCTTGCTGACAAAGGTCTGCATAGTCATAGCTATGGTTTTTCCAGTAGCGATGTATGGAAGTGAGAACTGGACCATCAAGAGGGTTGACTGCCGAAGAATTGATGCTTTTGAATTTTGTGGTGCTGGAGGAGACTCTTGAGAGTCCCCTAGACTGCAAAGAGATCAAAGCTATCCATTTTGAAGGAAATCAACTCTGAGTGCTCACTGGAAGGACAGAACATGAAGCTGCGGCTCCAATACTTTGGCCATCTCATGAGAAGAGAAGACTCTCTGGAAAAGCCCCTGATGTTGGGAAAGTGTGAAGGCAAGAGGAGAAGGAGATGACAGAGGACGAGATGGTTGGACGGTGTCATCAAAGCGACCAACATGAATTTGACCAAACTCCAGGAGGCAGTGGAAGACAGGAGGGACTGCCATGCTCTGGTCCATGGGGTCATGAAGAGTCAGACACGATTTAATGACTAAACAACAACAACAGAAAGACTAGAGAAATGGTTTTCTCTAGTGTACTGTACTTGACACAACATTGATGCTGATATTATTTTTTTCCCCACTATTCAGAGCATGTTTGCCTTATCATGGTTAGAACAGTGCAAAAAAAAAAATCTGTAGCTCTCTGTGCTTTTTTGTCGAGCTGCTGGTGTTGGAGATGAACATTACAGCACTTCCCACTGCAATTCATTTCTGCAGTCAAGAGCCTCCTGGTCAGAAGCTTTCAATTATCTTCCAATTAGCTACAAGCAGAAAAAAAAATTTTTCCAGCACGGAAGGAGATTTTTTTTTCTTTTGAAAGAAATGTCTGAAGAAATTTCAGGATTCCCTGAGGAGAAGCTATTTTTGCAGGTGTCCTTTGTAAATGGAGGCTTAGACACAAATCCCAGTAAGCATTGTGATCCTTCATGATCAAGAAATACAAGGGACAGGGGGTGGAAATTTCCCTCTGTTTAAAAGAAACCATGATTGTGTTAAATACAGAGATTGGAGAAGCTCTTTTTTGGAATCCCTCAGAATCCCACAGTCAGCACAGCTTGTAAATTCTGAATTAGACTAAAACATTTCAACACAGCTCATCTTACTCACACAGTTAAGCATGGGATTCTTGGGGAGGGGACATTCTTTTTGCAAATCTGCTAATTTTGAACACTGAGAGCATCACTCGCCACCATGGAAAACCATGTATTTGATTTTACAACAGTAACGATAACACACACACACACACACACACACACACACAATCATTGGAGATCTATGCAATGTTCTGTGTAACTAAAAATGTTAGTAACCTTGGATGATACTGACTACTTTAATGACAGAATGAAGCTTTGAAATCACAAAATTTTCTATTTCTTTCTCCTCTTCCAATAGATACCATATTTTAATGCCATATATTCTAGACAGATCAAACACCTGCCCATGTATTTTTCTTGTGAGTCTACAGACAGATCAAATACTGTACCTGCCCATGTATTTTTCTTGTGAGTCTATCTTACCCTCAATATATACACATTTATATCCCATTTACACTAATGGGATTCACACATGTGTATCGAGGGAAGCAAATATAACTCAGCTCTGTCATCCATGATGGCACTCGGATTGAATTTCTTAAATTAGGGTCTCTCTGAACTGATGATCCTGTGAAAGAGGAAGAAACAAGGGGTTTAATGTCAGAAACGCTTTCCTTCCCCAGTTGCCATCACAGAAAAATCTCAACTTCCCCTACAAATGGGATCTTTTCTCTACTTGCCAGATGTGGGGTGGGATTGGAAGGTGTCAGTTCGACTTTGGGAAATTGTCCCATTCACACTTTTGGAATCTATTGTGTTGGCTAAGTGAGGAAGAAAACCTGCATGCTACATAGGAAGGCACAACAGTATGCATCCATCTTCTGCTTTATATATCATATGTCCTGTTAAGAAAGGAACTACTTGAGAGGAAAGATGGAACAAAGACTTACAAGTTACATTGGTCTGTAGCCAAAGGTGTATCACATTGCCCAGCTCTGGAAGGTTGAGCATAGGGTTGCCAGATGCATGGGTACCAAAAGGAGGACATAGAAAGACCCCAAAAAAGAGGACAGAGGAGGACGTATTAATGTTTCATTTGAATCGTTTCGGATTAAACTCACAATCAATACAATTTGATTACTGGCAATAAATGTCTCTTAGCGAACCGACCAAGAAAGAGTCATGTTAAAAAATAAAAATAAATTCAATGGAGGCTTTTTTCAAAATACCAAAAAAACATTATTTAAACAGCCAATTGCTTTTCTCGGTGTGGAATCGGATGAGCATTTGTCCTGCTGTTTGGTCAGCTGCGAGGATGGGCTGGTTCATTCCTTTTTTCAGCGATCACACAACGTAACTGTTGGAGGGAACCAGCCTGTCCAGAGCTTTCCTACATATACCTTTCTGGGTCCTTGCCAGGGGTTACTACTTTTTTGGTGCAGGTAAGATTGTTTTGTTTTGGTTTGTTTCCAGTGCATGTGGTCTCAGGAAATGAACTAAAAAAGCAGAACTTGCAGCTTTAAATTCGCCTTCCTCTTTCAATTTCCCATATTGTTAAGTGGCTTAAGAAGACAGCTTAGCCGCTTCACAATAATGTGAAATAAAACAATTCCTCTGTTCTGCAGAGAGACAAAGGAAGTAAAAACTGTTGTTGTTTTCTTTTTAAAAACCTGTATTAGGGCAGTGCTAATGCATTGTATCACTCCGGAAAAATATTTTAAAAATGAAAACTTCCTCCCGGAAGTGGGACAAGAGAGAAATGGGGCAAAGATGGTGATTGCTGTTGCTGTTTTCAACAGGCTGGTGAACCAAAAAGGGTTCCTTGAGGTGAGTATGCTATTTGGATGCAAGGATAACACCCAATGCCATACCTACCTTAAATGACCCTATTTAGCCTGTGCCAGGCCGCTCTAAATGAGCCTGTATAGACAAGCCCTCAGAGCGTGGCTGACATGAAGCTTTCTATATTGCACTCTGGTGTCAGGTCAGGGATTCTGACATGTGAGCTCTCCCTAAGAGCCCTACATAACCTTATAGACCTCCAGGGAAAAATCAGAATACCATATTTGTCACAGCTGGCATTTATCCCAATTAAGGGTTAATTCCAGAATGAAATCAGACAACCATTTCCAATCATATCAAAATTCATCTGAGTATTATTAAGGTATAAATCCTTTCGTTGTTGCAATGATTCCAAGCAAGAGTAGCTTTTATAATTCTACAAGCTTTGTTTACCTACATTGCCTCTATATGCTATACTGTATGTACAAAATATTTCAAAAACTGAAAACATCCCGAAGTCTTACAGCTATGGCACATAGCAGCATGCTTTATACGCTAAAAATATATGAAAACTAAAATTAAGTTGCAGGCAAATACTTAAATCATAATTCAATCCAAAACACGGTAGAAATACAATTTAAGAGTAAAAAAGAACAACAAGAATGTCTCAATTACATTCTAACAATGTAAGAGCTTATAGTCTGGAAGGCATCATCAGAAAGTAAAAGGCAGAGAATACATCTCTAAAATTCATCATTTAAAAGCAAAAAAAGAATTATAATTTTAAGTAATCTTTAGCAAGGATTGCTTGCTTTAAACATATAACTGGACATACATGAAGGATTATTAAATAATGTTCTCACCCAACTGAGCCAAGCCAGCTTTGTGCCAATTTGCATCCGTGGAGGGAAATCCATGACAATTGTTGTTGGTCTCTGGTGTGTTTGCTGTAGTATGTTGCCTTGCCTTGCAATGATGAGTTGAAATCATGTGTATATTTGTGTTATCTTTGTATAGTTATAATTTATAATTCTTTCAGTTGTTTCCCCTCCCCTTCCAACTACAAATAATCTTTTCTCCAGGATTGAAGAGATCCAGGGGCTCATTTTCTTTAATGTCAGAGGGTAGAACCCAAAGTATATGGATTTACATTATGAGAAAGGAGATCTCACATAATGTCAGAAAAAATGACAACCAGAACAGTTGAACTGTGGAATGGACTGACTTGGAGGGTGGTCGTTTCTCCTTCACTGGAGGTTTTTAAAAAGAGGTTAGATGGCCACCTGTCAGAGATGCTTTAACTGTGGATTTCTTTGTTTGGTGGTGGACTCCATCACCCTTGGGGTTCTGTTCAACTCAACAGTTCAGTAACAGAACATTAAACAGAAAAATAGCAACATTTGGGATGATGATAATACAAAGAAGTTTGGTTTTTGTTAAAAAAAAAAACCCAACTGTAATAATGCACAGCATAAAGTTATTAATGAGCAATATACTCTCTCTCTCTCTCTCTCTCTCTCTCTCTCTCTCTCACACACACACACACACACACACACACACACACACACACACACACACACACACACACAGACACACACACACACACACACACACACACGGGTGGGTGAGTTATTGTGACCCTTCCATTGTTTTTGGATGTAAATCCCATAATATGGTTGTGTAGGGTAGGACTGATGGAAGTTGGGAGAAGATATAAATATTTATTGAGCTCACTGGAAGAAAGCCTTGATATGCAGATGATAAGCAATGTTTGTTTAGGAGTGAATGAGAATTACTACAGGAAATACAAAATAAATGACACTTTGTCTGGCGATTGACTCAAAATGACTCTCTGTTGCAGAGATGGTGGGAGAACACTGGGCTGTATTACATGGATGCCCTCCTGCTGCAAACAGGGCAAAAGAAACATTTGTTGTCAACTGTCAAGGTTGTATTTAGGGTGGCAGATTTGTGGTTCCATCTCAGGGCATCAAAATTTAGAGGGCAGCAAAATCTGGAAGTGAATCTAATGATGGATCGTTAGAAAATAAACAGCAACATTTCCTGGCTGTATGCAGCCTCGAAAGAAAGAAAGAAAGAAAGAAAGAAAGAAAGAAAGAAAGAAAGAAAGAAAGAAAGAAAGAAAGAAAGAAAGAAAGAAAAAGAAAGAAGAGCAATCAAGCAAGCAAGCAAGCAAGCAAGCACATATTCACAACATCCTCCTGATCCATTTTCTTCAGGGCGCCTATGCCCATGCATCAAGGCAGAGTGGGTGTGATACAACACTGAGTGCCCTGGATGCCAAAATTGCTAGTTATGTATAGCTCTGTCAGTTATGGAGAGACACTGAGTTTACAGTGTCCAAAGTCATTGGAAGCCCTTTAAAGAGCCCTCCAAAGATGTGGTTACCCTGATCTATCGGAGGCCTCTGATAAGAAACACAATGGAATCATATCCCCTTGGCCGTATCTCATGTCCACACCACTAAACAAGCCTTCCTATCAAATCAGAAAGATTTCATAGCAGCTATCAAAATGTAGTGATACTGTTAGACATTGTCTCTGATTGGGTAATAAAACCTGTCAACCATTCAGAATTAAGGCGTCCATATACTGTATGATTACTGCGAAATAAAATGACAGCAATGATGCAAATCAGAACTCTGCCGCCAATCAAAAGAAAAGATATAGGTGGGGGAAAAAGTACCGTATGTCCCCTTTTATGCATCACTAGCTGTATACTATCTCTGAGCTCCAGTTATTTTTTTCTCTGTTATCTGTATCACAGTACTGCCCAGAGGCCACACAGTTGATATAATACAAACCATAATTGTTTTAGCTTGGAATCTGTTATTAATCTTGACACCTGCATTTTGAGTAAATGACAATTAGGACATGATGAGTTTTTTAATTACTATTTCAAACTTGATTAACATCACCAGCAAAATGAAAATATTAAAAGAGACAATAATGAAATTAACCGGCTAAATACTATGGTAGTACTATTTAAAACAATTTTTTCAAGCTATATAAGCTTTGAGCAATGAATACACAAACATTAGCGGAATTTTGCTTGTTAGTTAATGTGAGTACTGTAATATATTCAATTCTTAAAAAAACAAAAAAACAAAAACCCACCTCCAGTTTATGAATATGTGATATTATGCTTCTGTATCCAGAATTCAAAACACCAGGAAATTCACAGAGAAAACAATCAGGAAAAATGCCATCAGCTAACTCCTTTATTTTCGTCAGTTAACCAATTCCCACCCAAACACAAAGCGATTTTCATGGTTGTTTCTGGACAAGTAGTTAGCACAATAGGGTATCCTGTAGACCAGCGTGACTGGTGTCATTGGTGTTGTCAACATTCAGATTGCCTTTTATAATGTAGAGCTTGGCATCCTTTTTCCTGCTGGCAACACAGGCACAATATTGTGCAACAAAATCAGGCCATTTCCTGGTGTTTAAAATTGTGGATTCAGAAATGCAATATCCCACATTCATAAACCTGGGATTTTTTGAAAAATTGAATTCCCTGGCTTTTAAAAATATACATAAGATATAGACAAATTCAATCCCTCATATAGAATTACCTTGTGGTAGAAGATTCCAGAAGATGAACATATATGATCTGTACTATGGTTACTTGAAGAAGACAGAAGCAAGAACTGCTTGGATGTGGCTATGTTTCCTCTGTGCCAAAACTACACAGTATTGGGCCAAAAGCTCTACAAACATGTTGTGCGCATGTTTTGCAAAAGATGTCCCTTTACCTTTGGAAATTAAAAAAAGGAAAGAGATTGGAATTAGCAAAGATTGTCCTAGAAACCAAGGTCAAAATCATCTATACATTGTGAAAGAAAGACAGTGAAGAAATACAGACACAAAAATAAGCTCATTTGAAATGTAGTGTTGGATAGAGGTGCCATCAACAGCGAGAAAGGCAGAAAAGTGGTTGATCAATCAAATCAAGTCTGAACTTTCACTAGAGCAAAAATGAGTCAACTGAGGCTATTCTACCATGTACATATAATTAAAACAATGAAGTGACCAGAAAATACTATTGCTGGGAAAAATGGAGTGGAGCAGTTGGAAGAGAGGAAGACCTAATGTGAGAGATTTTGTCTCATTAAAGGAAGCGACAACTGTTAATTTGCAAGACCTGAGCAGAACTTATTGGAAAAGACAATATTGCTAGGAATTGAAAACAACCTAACATGAGATGGTTTGCTAGATCTGAACAGGGTTCTTAATGTTAGAACATTCTGGAAGTCAGTAATGCATATTGTCACCATTCATCGGAAGTGACTTGATGGCACATAATATCTTTGGAGTTATTTTCTTAATTAACAAACAATTGTACAGTGACAAGATGGGTGCAACAGGCCCCAAAGCTCTAACATCAAGGCCATCCCCAGCCAAAAAGGAAAAAGTGCAATTTCACTTTCAAGCTTCTGAATATTTATCCTGTATTCTTTTTTAATAATATCTTTTAAAATATTTTACAACCAGACACAGAATCCCTTTGCCAGCATGAATGCCTATTTGTCCAGGAAAGAGTTTTTTTGAAAAAAATATTTCTGAGAGTTAGCTAATTGGGTCCTGATTGACAGCGTCAGAGGTTCAGATTGCCACAGACTTGAAGCTGATTTCTCATTTAAACATTTGTGTCACGAGCCTGGTATTAGAAATCCTGAGAGAAGGTTTACTGAAAGCACTCAGCCAAACACAAAACAGCAAAAGCAGCTAAAGGCTTGAATTAGGGTGAAGTTCCAGCAACAACAGTTACAGGGCACGGAAAGCTAGAGATGAATCTACTGATGAATACCAGCAACGCTTCCTGGCTCTGTTCACTTGTTTGGGGGGCAAGGGGATGGAAAGCATAAACATTTTGGATTTTTCTTGTTGTTTAGTCGTTTAGTTGTGTCCGACTCTTCGTGACCCCATGGATCAGGGCACACCAGGCCCTCCTGTCTTCCACTGCCTCCCGGAGTTGTGTCAAATTCATGATGGTCGCTCTGGTGACACTGTCCAACCATCTCGTCCTCTGTCGTCCCCTTCTCCTCTTGCCCTTTTACCCCCACCTTAAAGGGACCCAAGTCGGCTGACAACACTAAAAAGACATTATTACATGTATCAATCCCTGGCTTAAGATCCGAAGGCAGTGTACAAACATCCTAAAAACATCCAGTGTACACCGGGAAATTAGTTGGTGGGGAGTGTTCGGGGATCTTTTATGTGTGTGCATGTGGGTCTGGTCTCTGGGTGTTTATGTGAATTTTGTTGCATGGGTATACTGTACTGTAGTGTTCTATGTATATATTTACAAGGACAATACATTTATTTTAAAAAAAACAATGATGCAGTATTTGCATTGTGTATGAAATCATATCGTGCCTTGAACTTCATTAGGAAGGCTAAGAAAAATATACACATTCCCTCAAGTTTTTTACTCGGTCAGACGATGTTTAAACCAGAGCAGGAGAAAAGATTTTGGGGGGGAGAGGCTACAACTTCCACCACTCCTCAGGTGGGGATTCTTAAGGGTTGGAGCCCCCAAATAAATTACCTCCCCCCACCCCCGTCTCTTGTTTAAATCTTAACGCCCTCCTCAGAGCTTCGCTGGCGTGACCAAAAAAA